CATTAGCCACATTGACCATTGAGCACTTGAAACATGGCTCATGAGGAACGGAATTCTTTATTTTACTTAATTTTAATTAAATTACATTTAAATAGTCACACGTGCTGATAGAAAATAGATACCAATGGGTTAGGATAGAAGGATGAAAATGATTTGGCATTTCTCTCAAAAACCTACAAAGCAATGGGAGAAATAACATGCAAACAGAGTTCTACCTTGAAATCCCAGCTGAATTTTTATGGCCCTTAATAAAGTAGAGATTTTATATGGAAGAAAAAAGCCCCCAAATCACCACAATTCTGAAGAGGAACAAGGTTAGGGAGAGGAGGTGGGACTTGCCCTACCAGATAATCAGAGTTCTTCTAGAGCTCTCATAATTAACAAGGAAATATTGGCATGGAGCTAGTGTAGTAGAACAGAATGAGAATCCAGAAACATTCATGCAGGATTTTCTTTTTTTAATCAAAATACAAAAAAAAAAAAGGGCTATAAGGAAAATTGATATATTTTACTATATCTGAACTCGAACTTTTTGTAGTCAGCAAGACACTATAAACAAAGTTAACAGACTGAGAAGACAGAATCTACACCATTGGTAAAGGAGCAGAATACACAAATAAACAAATTAACTTCTCAAAAGTTCAATAAAACAAAAAATAACAAAGAGAATGCAGGCAGAGGATATGAAGGGGCCTATCCCAGAAGAAGAAACCTGAATGATGAGTAAGCATGAAGAATATGGTCCATCTGACTATATCAGGGACATGCAAATCAGAACAATGAGACTGCATATTCTACCCAGAGCATCTGCCAGTGGGCTTGAGTTTAACAAAGCCGAACGTCAGCACAGATGTGGACGCTGGCAGGATGCATGATGCGACTACCCCTCCGAAAGCAATTTGGCAATGTCCGGTGAAACTCCAAATATGTGCACTCTAGGCCCTGCTAACCTATTTCTAGGCATTTGCCTTCTGTCAATTCTTGCACAAGTGAACAAGGGAACTTGCCCAACAGGTTCACTGCAATATTACTTGTAACTGTGGAAAATTAAAAATGAGCTAGTTGTCCCTCAGTTGGGGAAGGACAAATTGTCGTGAGGTCGTTCAAAAGGATGACCCATAGCAGATGCCCATAGCAGGTAGAGTAAATGAGCTGGATCTGCGTTTATTGAGGCTGATGGGTCTCAAAACTATAATGTGGTGTGAAGAAGAGAAGTGACAGGAAAATATGGGGAATATGGGACCAGTTTCGTAAATGTCAGAGCACCCCAAGTACTAAGTATTTTTCGCGTGGGATACCTGCGTTTTAAAAGGATGAAAACTGGACGAAAACTGGACGAAAAAGGCGAATATTAACAACTTCATGATAGCTACATCTGGACAAGAGAGGTCTTGTGCCTTTGGGAGTGGAGCTCTGGCCTTCTTCTGCTCCAGCCCCAGGGCTAAGGGGTTGTACCCACCTGAAGCCCATCTCTGCTCCATCTCTGCAGTGCACCCCTCCCACTCCTACCTTGGGAGCTGGAACCCCCAAGATTCCCTGTCCAATGGTCCAAGGCCTCTTCCTGGGCCTGCGTAGGCCTTTCTCCCTGGCCCACCTTCTCAAGAAAGGGCCTGGTGTCTGCCTAGGAGGCAGGGGACAAGGAACAGGATCTGAAGGCATCTGAAGGAGACTTCAGCTGTGTCTAGGAATGTTAGTTCTTCATAACCATATACCTAAAACAAACACAACAACATGACCTTGCTAATTCTGGGGGTGGGGGGTATTTTTTTTTTGATCTTTTTAATAGCTGACTCATATATATCACTTACCATGTTTCAAGTACTATTCTAAGTGATTCACCTTTAAAATTAGATAGTTTATTCCTACTCAGTTTTATGGAAGACAACTAAATGACTTGCGGAGGTCACTCACTGCAAAAGGAAGGGAATCTGGACCCAGTAGGTTTGGCTTCAAATTCCATGATCTTAGCTATACTCTAGGTCTACTTGACCATACATTACATTAAAAAAAAAAAATTAAAATACCCGGACAAATACAACCCAAAGAAAAAGGTGGTGGACTTCTGTGAGAAGGTTCTTAGATGTGTGAAGAGCACAGACGAAAAGGGCTTTACCTGGGAAGGAAGGCTGTCGCGGTGGTGGGGCAGGCTTCATGAACCAGCTGCCCCCTTTCCGCCCTAGCCTTGCTGGGCAGTGGGCAGGGAAGGGCAGGCAAGTGAAACGCCAGGAAGAGGGAACTTTGTATATACAGGGATCAATTTAGGAAAGTTCAAGAAGGAGTTAAGGATTAGCAAGTAGCTATGTTTGGCTGTTACATGAGGGGACAATTTGGTGAGGGACATAGGTTGGGATCTTTAAAGGGAGGGTGAGACAGGATTTAATCTGGAAGGCAAGGCAGGCTCCGCAGAGCTACACCGTGGCCATGGCCGGCAGGCCAGCTGCTGGTGAGGAACCCCCAGGGGCTCTGGCGAGGGACACCGAGGGGCCAGTCAAGAAGCAGTCAGGTATGCTCACCTACAGTGAACCGGGCATTCTTCCAGGTGGTGGGAGCATGGAGTGAACAAAACAGAAGTTTCTGCCCTCACGGAACCTGCATTCTAGTGGAAGAACACAACTAAGATAAATACGTGGGATCTCCAGCAAACAAAGGGATACGGATATGCATCTGCGAGACGGAGAAAGAAGGGAAGGGAGCTAGGAAGGACGGCCTGTGCACGTGTATGTGTGTAATGCGTGGTGGCGGGGCGGTGGAGTGAGCTGAGGTGCCGTTGGAGGAAAGGCCTGCACACTGAGAGGTGCTGCGAGGATCCAGAGACTTAGAGCCTGGGGATGGGCCACGGTTACACCACAAGGAGGGGCAGGAGGAAGAGCTCAGTGGGAGGAAGACAGATTGAGTCTGGGGTCCAGGGGGACAGTTAAAAATAGGGGCCAGAGCCCCGAGCGTGAGACACATCCACCCAAGAGTCACTGCTAACTTGGTGATGGATGGTGATAGATATGCTTTATTTTAGTAGCTAAGATCAAGGAACAAGAGAGCAATAGAAACTGGCAATCAGAGCGTCCCTACTGTGTGCCCCCGGCACTCTCGGGTGTTTTAGTCCACACAGTACCTGTAATGCTAAGGACATCCCTGCGGCCCCCATAGAGTTAATTCAGCACAAATAACACCAGCAACAGTAGCCCACACAAAACAGGTTATAGACTACATGCATGAGACACTTTCCTGGCCCTTTCTTTATACATGTTATAATATGTTAATTCATTCCGTTTTTACAGAGACCCAGGAGGGTACTAATTGGCCTCATTTGACAGGTGAGAATGCCCCGCTGGCCAGGGTAGTTGCCCAAGGTCACAGGCTGGTGAGGGGATGAAGGAAAGGTTGAAGAGAGTGGCCTGGCTCCAGAGTTCTTGTTCTGGAAGGAGGGAACCTCTCAGCCTTCCAAGAAAAGCAAGCTGAAGGCACAAATCCTTTTTGAGGACGGGGTGTGGGTCTGGGGAGAAGAGCTGGAGAGATTCTCAGGTGACAAGGGCGAGAGAGGAGGCTGGGCTGAGGCAGGGAGAACGCGGTCAGCTCTGCCGCCTGGGGGTGGCCCGCAAGCTGGCCGGTGAAGACCGAGCACCAAGCACCGAGCACCGAGCTCCGCACACAGCAGCCCAAAGGGACGCAAGCAGAGTCCCAGAGGCCAGAGGCCAGTGCGGACGCGCTCTGCGGACCTCTGGGAGTGGATGAAGAAGTGAAAACCAACCCTCAGACCAACCAAACACCCTTTCTGAGAGATTTCAGGCCTGGAAAGTAAGTCTGAAGGTCCCGGCTGAGGAAACCTGTTTCCCTCTGGAGGTCCCTTTTCACTTGGAATCTGAACGAGAGGCTTAAACTCTAGATTTCCCAACTGTCTCTTTGAAAAAGTTGGGCGACTTCTTAGATGTGAACAGAATCCCCCCCTGGATCCGGCTCGGCAGTGGGTCGCCAAGCGGCCTTTGAGCACTGAGGGCTGGAGGGCTGGAGGGGGTGTCCCCGGGGCACAGGCGCGGGACCCGGAGCGCACGTCTTTCGTCCCCCGTCCTCCCGTGCCCCCCCCCCCCACCGCTGCCCTCGAGGCCTCCGAGAGGCCGCGACCGAGGAGCCCAGAAAGTCGTGGGTGACCCTGGAACTTTCCGATGGGGCGCGCGACCCGGGGCGGAGCGCAGAGCAGGCTGCTGGCAGGGACCGAATGGAGCTCCGCGCCAGGCCGGAGGCTGTGCCCGTCACTCGCAGTCCCGGGCCGGGTGGCCGGCGCGCGGTGGCGCTGAGCCAGGCCGCGCCGCCCGGGCACCGCCGCGCGCCCACCCCAACCCCGCCGCCGCGTCCCCGGGGAGTGCCGCCCGGGCCGCCGCGGGCGCCCG